TGATAATAGCCAGTTGAGAGCAGCATGGTCAGTTCGAATAGTAAACTTTCCACCGAGTAGATACTGGCGAAAATGTTCAACTGCCTTCACAACTGCCACTAATTCCTTCCTCGTTGTACAGTAATTTTTCTCGGCATTATTGAGGCATCTGCTGAAATAGGCCACAACTTTTTCTTCACCATCCTGTACTTGTGCTACTGCTGTTCCAGTGGCAAACTGAGATACATCGGTGTCCAGCACAAAAGGCAAATTGGGGTGAGGCATCGTTAGAATTGGTGGAGAAATGAGTGCTCTTTTTAGCGTTAAAAAAACAGTCTGACAGTCTTCAGTCCGAATGAAAGGTCTCTTGTCTTCAGTTAAGCGATGTAAAGGCTTGGCAATAGTGGCAAATCCTTGGATGAACTTCCTGTAGTACCAACACAGCCCCAGGAAACTTTGTAGATCAAGGTTTGAAGTAGGGACTGGCCAAGTGACAATGGAATCAATTTTTTCAGGATTGCACTTGATACCTTTACCAAACACAATGTGTCCAAGATATAGCACCTCATGTTGAAAGAAATTACATTTCTTCGGATTGACCTTCAAATTTGCAGCTGAAAGTCTAGAAAGAACTAGTTCAAGATTATCAAAATGTTCTTTCTCGTCTTTCCCAAAGACGATGATGTCATCAAGATAAACAACACATTTTTTCCATACGAAACCCTCCAAAACTCGATTCATTACCCTCACAAATGTGGCGGGAGCATTACATAAACCGAAAGGCATTACAGTAAACTGCCATAGTTCATGACCGATTGTAAAAGCAGTGATTTCTCGATCTTTTGGGGTCATATCAATCTGCCAATATCCACTCTTCAAATCGACAGTTGAAAACCACTGTGAGCCCGCTGTAGTATCAAAGATGTCATCAACTCTCGGTAGAGGAGTTGCATTTTTCGTGGTTATATCATTGACTTTACGAAAATCAACACAAAACCTTATCCCATTATCTTTTTTGGCAGTTAACGTTATGGGAGATGCCCATCGACTGGTACTCGGCTCGATTATTTTTTGCTTAATCATTGGATCAATTAAATCATGGATTATATCTCGATACTCCAATGGCACTCTTCTGGGAGTTTGTTTGATTGGATTGAAATTTTTAATGACGATTTCATGTTTGATGTCCTGATAACGTCCTAAGTCATCCTCATTCCTTGAGAAAGCGTCTTGAAATTGAATTAGGAATTTTTTGAATTTGTTTTGTTGTACGTAATTCAAAAGTCGCTTCGACTTCTCGAATAATAAAGATAAAACTTCAGGGAGTTCGTAATTATTTGTATTTGTTGACTGGGAAATAATTTCACGTACTGAAACTACTCTTACCTTGTTGTGTTTTAAATTTTGCTTCCAGAGATTTTTCAAAATCCTTCAAGAGTCCCGATTTGTGTAACAAATCCAATCCCAAGATGCAATCTTTCATAATATCAGCTAAAACCAAATTCAAATTGATCGAGATGTTGCCAACGTGAATGGTAGTATTCTGAATCGAATAATGGTGGAAAGGTGTTTTAGCCACGGTTAGAATCTTGATGGGTTGATAAACTTGTTTGAAATTATTGGAATGTTTATCAGAAAATTTTGGATTTAGAATGGAAATGTCGGATGCTGTGTCAATTAACATGGAGCATTGATGTGTGTCAATCTTTCCAGTTAACGTTAGATTCAAATGCAAATCTTTTTTATCAATGATAGACCGGTAGCAACGATTGAGACTTTTTCTCTGAGCCAATCCATCCCCCGCTGGATTGACTCTACTTAGTTTTCCTGATCAAAATTTCTCTCCCTTAAATTTGCTGGTGAAGTAGAGTTCGACGCATTAAAAGGAACTTCAGCGTTGCCAGTGCGTCGACAACGCTGGTAGTAGTTGTTCGGACGTTTAGAAGATGATGATCAAATAGAATCACGATGTCTAGAAAATTGAACTGTAGAATTTCTGCAGAATTTATTCTTCGAATTCGATCTACATTCATTTGCATAATGCCCGAACGATTTACAACTGTAGCATTGAATTTTCGATTTTTTGTCTGGAGGAAACTGCCCTGATTTGTGAGGAAATTGTTGATTTGACAATTGATGGACAGTTCCATTGAACGATCGATTTGATGACTGAGGGAATTTTGCATTGAAAGGTCGTTTTCGTCGAGCAATTATGCCATTCTGGGAGTTTGTTGTTTTTTCGATTACGTCCAACTCGGTAGCCCGTTCAATAGCTGAACGCAAAGATTCAATTCGTTCTTTACGCAATTGGGAAGAGATATTTGAATCGCGAAGCCCTCTAATGAATTGAATAAAAGCCATTTTATCCCGAGCCTCGTGAGAAACGTTTGGATGGGAAAGTCGGGATAATTTCTTGATTTCTTCTCCAAACGTCGCGATGTCTTCAGAATTTTTTCTCTCGCGAAATTCTAGTTCTCGATAATTCATTCGAGCAAAATGCTCCTCATTGAATTCCTCATTTAAAATTCGCAATAATTTGTCGTAATTTTTAGCATCTTCATTCGATAAAAATTCGAGAATTTCAAGTGCTTTTCCTCTCAAGCAAGCAGCTAAATGCGCACCTTTCGATTCAACCGACCAGCTGTTGTGATATCTGGTGATATTAAATTGTTTCTGGTATTGGAGCCACGGTATTGTACCGTCATAAATCGGAAGTTCATTTTCTTCTGATTTTCAGAGCTAGAATTTGGGAATGGAGGATTGTTTGCAGGATTAGCATTATTACCAGTGCTAGCGAGATTACTACCAGAAGCATTACTACAAGCATTGGGGTTAGTTAGATTAATTAATTGGACATTATCTGTTTAGACTACTCTCTCCTCGGTCCACTCTCCTCCAAAAATTCCTTCATGATAGTACGAAAATCGTGATTGATCATCTGACGTTGGTTCTGAGAACGTTCATCTAAATTTGTTGAGATGACATGTCGATGTTTGTCCAGTTTCTCGTTGAGTTGATCATTCATCCTCGATTCGAAGTTCTGCATCCGACTGTCCAACAAATTTTCTAACGTTTCAAATCGCTTATCAGTCTCTTATTGTAGTGTCTGGAATCTCGAATTCATTTCTTCATGTCCATTTCCTCTCTCGGGAATAAAATGGGCGATAACGATGTCTTCCTGGCCCCCGGGGAAGGATCTCCGAATCGCCATCCGACTCGTCACCCATTGCGTTCCGCCGGTAGTTGTCACTCTTTTTACAGGTATCCAGAAATATGTGGGATGAGTTCAATCACTTCTGACACCAAATGTTGTATTTAATGAAGAAATAATTCAGGATAATCTAAGCGGCGTATTTATTGACAGTTCTTCAGAATAGTTTATGGAACAAAGATCAATCAGACATAAAGTTTTTTTACAAAACATTAAGAAACATGACAATCAACTTTCTTTTGTTTTACAGAAGAGGGGAAGAGGATGGATTAAACCATTCAATTCCGTAACAATATTTTAAGTCTACTTAAGCGAGCTGAGACCAGTTTCTGGTGAACACCAGACTGGAGACCAAATTCTCGAGAAAATGAAGATGCTGAATAGGGAGAGTGATCGGTTCAATGCGGAGGAGGAGGGTGACAACTATTCACAGTCAGCACGTTGTTTGCAAATTTCAGGCGGATACAGAATAGCAATTCAGGAATTCAATGGTAGAAAAATGGTTAAATTCCGATGATCGAGTTTGAAATGGTGACCATTAGAATTTTTCAATATTTCAGCCAATCCTGTTGCAATTGACTGCCGCCATGATTGGAAACGGTGACGCAGCTTTCAAAGGGACTTCATATGATATTTAATATCATTCTTCATATTGATACACTTATCGGTTCATTGCTGCAATGAACATTGCTCAAACTATCGCACATAATGGCATTCCAACTATCGCGCAGACATGCGGCGACATGTTCTTGGGGAGCACAACCCTGTTGATCTGGTGTCGAGAGTAAGAAACTAACTGAGAGTCAGTTCTCGTGGAATAGTCCATAGTGGATGGATGAGTCAGAATCATGCTGGTCAGAGCAGAAGTTTTTGAAAGAACTTAACGTTAACAACATATTAAAAATCTGGAAAGGAGGAATGTAGTGGCACATTCGGCATCTGAGACTAGGACTCATCAAGCATAGAATTTGATTGCGAAATATGTTTTTTTGAGGAACCTTCGTGTCGTGACTGCTGGGTATCGTCGAGTATTTTCGGTGAAACGAGACAAAGTATAGAAGGAATCAGTAGGTGATGGAGCTTCAGAGTTTACTACCCGGGATCTTTAGCCCAGCCAGATTAAGGAGGCAAGTATTTTTTGGGTTAAAGAGATGGGCTAAGCTGAGAGAATTCATGAGGATGTCAGGTGCTTGAAGGAGTTGACGTGTGTGGCTGAGGGGAGTCTTTTGTATCGTCTAGTGCCTTTTATTGATAGCCTAGTAGTCATTCATATCACCGGGAGACTTCAAGTCTTATCATGAGGAGGATTTCAAACACCCTGTAACATGGCCATCTAGTAATATGGCATCTAGGGGTTTACACAACTCGTGTTGTAACAAGTCCATCTTCAAACGTTTTATGGTGATGTCCAGCCCATGCTATCGACTTTCAGAAGGAAATATTGGGTTTTAGAAGAGAGAAGGCCGATCAAGGGCCTCATTTATCGTTATGGGACAGCAGCCACTGAGGTGGGTCACTCCTGCTCGTCCATTTCCTCATAGTGGAGTGAATTACGCACGACCCTTAATGTTATTGACTTGGAGAGGTAGAGGGACTAAGATTTCCAAAGGGTTCTTGACTGTGTTCGTTTGTTTCACGATATCTACTATTCATATTGGTGAGTGATGACAGCACTCAAGGATTTCTTGTATATTATAAAAGGTTTACGAGTAGGCGTGTCGTTTGTACTACTGTCACGTGTGATTGCGGGACGCATTTCGTAGTAGCAGATAAAGAGTTGAGTTTGCTTTTCAACTCTACCAAGTAGGAAATGGATGCTAGTGCTCAAAGCATTGACAAAGATGGGACTAAATGGTTTGTCAACTCTCTTGGAACACCTCATTATGGTGACAAGTGGGAGGCTGCGTTGGGATCTGCCAACACCCACCTTAACTGGGTGATAGGGCAGACTAAGATGACCTACGAGGATCTGACCATTTTGCTGACTCAGGTGGAGACTATTCTGAACTATTGGCCACTCTGCAACTTGCCTATTATTGACGTTGAGTTCGCAGTGTTGACTCCTCGGCATTTTCTTATGGACTCAGCATTGACGACTGTTCCTGAGCCTTCACTGGGTCAGTTGTCAATCTGCAGGTTATCCAGACATCAACACATTTATCAGATAACAGCGTTTACCAATTATAAAATGAGATATGAGGACAGTCTTTAAGGGCCTATTTGGAGATGATGGTCTATGTCGAGTGATCATGGTGAAGACCCTGTCTTCCACCATTACGAGACCAATAACAAAGGTGCATCTTGACTTGGTTGGCTTCCGGATGGATGCCGCGTTGAGTTTCAGCATTGCGCCGACGTTTCGCAAACATTGCAGTCTGCATCTTCAGGGCTATGAGCTCCGATTCTGAGCTCCGATGTGTGGGGGCAGTCCTTATATACCTTCCCTTGTGGTGGTGGG